CTTCGACTTCGACTTCTACTTCTACTTCTACACCTACTTCTACCTCTACTTCTACTTCTACTTCTACGACGACAACGACTTCCACTACTACCACCAACTACTCCTACCGCTATGTTCCTACTTAAACTCCAATTCCTCCTGCTTTTGCTACTACTGCTTGCCGATGTTTACTGCGACGACTACTGCTCCATTTGCCTCCGAGGGCCTTGGCCACGTTGGCCCATGTCAGCAACCTCCTGCTCGATGCGCTTGCGGGGCGTGGCGCAGCGACACTCCCTACATTCCCGGTCCAGGTGCACTTGAAGATAGGTTGTAGCATTTCGCGGTGCCTCAGTAGTTGTCGAATTTCGGGATGCTGCTGGACAGGAGCTGGTGAACAGCTGCTGGGCAGTCGCACGTAAGGAGCTGAGGGTAAGCTTGTGCTCTCCTGAAGCATCCTGAAGTCAATGCACTGTGGGGGCGATACGAAGCTGACAAGCTGTCAGTTTCACAGAGCATGAGCAGCTGAGGCCTGATGTATTGCCGCGGGGCACTGCAGAAAGCGGTTCAGGACGCAGTGTTCCTCAAGGCCGGCAGGCTTAATTAGTCGCGTCGGAGGAGCCGAACAGTCAGAATCTCATTAGATCCGGGATCCCTTGTTGCTGAGTGTGGAGTCTCCGACTGATGTGCAAGACCCTCAACAACTTTCAGATGGAAGCCTTTAACTTGGCAGAGTCCCAGAGTGAGAGCGTCAATTGGAGAGATTTGTAGTGGCGTGGCCTGCATCGCTGCAGGCACTCCGCAAGTCTCTGTGAAATCTCGATGTCTGCAGGTGTACCAGCACCGAGCGCGGGATTTGGCCAACGCAGCCCGATCGCCTGGTCGATTAAAGACGACGGAGCCAGAACCTCACCGCTTAACGGTTTACGGCTATAATAGACTGTTGTGCCCCTGATGAGGTCGCAGCTGCTAGCATCTGTTACTGCACATTCGCTGCCGAAGATCCAGCAATGCTTGCCGCAGGAGGCGTGATCTGTTTAGCTGAAGTGTGTGTGTGTGTGTTTGTTTGAATGTGCTTGTTTTGATTTGCAGTTGTCCAATCTGGCGTGGGCTACAGCGACGCCCCAGACCTTGGGCAAAATGTCAACGGACGTGGCTGCAGCCGAAGGGATCCAGAAAGTTTTAGGCCGGGTGGCGAGCATGGTTTCTAAGCAAATCGTTGGCAAGTACAAGGCTGCGACAGCCGTCACGAATGCATGCAACTAGCCCAAATCCACGAGTCCTGCCGACTTCTTCTTGGGCAGGTTCCAGCGTGCAGAACCTGGCGAATGCAGCTCAGGGGTTCGCCACACTTGGTGCCATGGGGAGGCATCTTCCCATGATCTCCAACAGCAGTGGCGGAAGTGATGAGCTTGCCGTGCTGACATGATGGCTAGTCATGGCAACCCCCGCGAGGCCTTCAGCGGAAGCGGCTTCAGCGGAGACGCACTCGAGCTCAGCAGCGGGTGGCAGCATCACAGTGAGTCATGCGTCACCATGCCATCTGACATCTATTTCGAAAGTGATGATCTGCGTGCATCCTCAGAAGTCTGAAGTTGTGCTCACCTTGCCAGAAGTTGGCTCTCTCGAGCGAACTGGAGTCTGAGCTTTGGTCATGAAATGGCCTGCATCAAGTTTTCCATCTGATCGAAGCATTCAATCTGATGCAAGGCTGAAGCGCATTTCGCAGCCCGAGCCGCAAGCACCGACCAACACTGCAGCGACCATAGCATGGCGACCTGTTCACACCAATGGTCGTGTTTCGTGGTGGGATGATGCAGTGGAATTTCACAGAAGCTGGTGATTTTGCACTTGTTGACGCGTCGAGCCTCTATGAGCCTCCATGTCTATGTCCAATCTCATTTACGTGCGTCTAGCATGGCCCCATCCGCGCGATTCCAGTACCTTTCTCATCTCCATAAGCTGAGGTTCGATCGCCGGGAACATTGGGTGTCAGCAATGTGGCCGGATCCTTCGCTTGGAGATACACAGAGACGGATGCCGCTGTGTCATGCTCTGCCTAAGGCCTAAGGCTTGCTTCGCCATGTACTTCGCACTTGTGCCTTCTGCCATTGTCAGGTGTCGTTGGAAGCTGCTGCCACGCAGGGAAGACACAAGGCAGGCGCTTGCTCGGGGCCTGTGCTCCGCCAAACTCTCGAGTTCCGCTTTCACGTCGGCATGCAACGTCACCACTTCTTTGGCCCTTTCCCAGGCGGAGATGCATTGCCCTCAGGACCTCAAGTTTGGGCATCAGTCTGTGGGTCTAGCAGTCCAGAAGACTGGCCTTATGTGCCGAAAAGCGTCTACGAGGCATGCCTGGAGCCCCCTGCACGTGCAACGATTTAGGCGCCGAAGAGAATCTGCCCTGCAGGACATCGGAAACACATGCCGGGCCTCTGGAAAACCAAGCCACCTCGACGCACCCTGGCCGAAATGCTTGCGACTGTGTGGGGCTTGATGCCGGTAGTGAGGTAGTGACTTGGCCTATCCACGTGCAGCATCAGGAGTTTGCAGAGACTTACTGAGATCCGCTCGGAATCTGAGCATTTCTGCCCGAGCCCCACTCGCCTCGGTTACCGCTACCTTGTGTGCACTAGCAACATATGTTCTGCCAAACTGATAAAGATTCCATGCTCCTCTCGTCCCCTGTCATAGCGAGTTTAACACCTGCAGTTGCAGCCAGCTCACATTCACCAGATCAGGCGAAGTCGACTTGTGTGATCTGTCTGCGACTGTCATCATGGCTCTTGAAGCTTTGAGCCCGGTGTGGCCACAACGGATGTCAAGCGCACCTCTGAGACCACCGCCGCGATCCATCCTGAAGGCTGCACATGCTGCACCCTCATCACCATTGACGGTCTCAGGGGCATCGGCGGCCTCGGCGGCTTCGTTGATGTGCGGTCTGCGGCGTCGTGGACGGCCCAGGCTACAAGCCAGCTTCCGATGGGAGCAGGGAGATGCCACCGATCAGGAGCTGCGAATCTTCATGCCGGTGGGCAGCAACACCTCAGCCAAAGACGTCGAGCTAGAGTTAACGGAAACGTACCTGCGAATCGGTCTGCGTGGCAAACCGCCAATGATTGAAGGCGATTTGTGGAGCTGTGCAGATGTAGAGGACACTTATTTCGAGTTGGAGACTCGGCAAACAGAGGTGGCTCGAAAGGATGTCAAAGAGTTGGTGTTGTACCTCGCGAAGAAAAGGGTCGAGACTTGGGAGGAAATCTTGCGCCCCTGTTACAAGTGGGAACCTGCTGGACGTTACAACGAGGAGATCCGAATCTACGTTCCCCTTCGTGACGAGCTCAGGGCCTCCGACGTTGATTTCCAGCTGGCCAACGGTCGTCTCCGACTGAGATGTGCTGAAAAAGTAGTTCTGGATGGAGAGCTGTGGGGCGCTGTCGAGCTCGAGGACTGCGATTGGATGATAGATGTCCATGATGGCCAGCGAAGCGTTATTGTTTCCTTGGGAAAGCTGCATGTGCGCGAGCACTGGGAGAGACTGTGGAAGAGCGAGGAAGGCAAGGCTGGCTGGCCAGTCTTCAAGACAGGCTCACGCAAGGATGTCGACATGGCAGTCCTTGGTTCTCTTGATTATGTCCATACCCTCCTAAACCAACGGGATGTCGACTATGCGAGGGACTACTTAAACCATGTCTTGCCTGATGACGAGGAGCCTTGAGAAGAGTCAAGGCTTAATCGGAGCAAATTGCTCAGGGATGCTCGCGGCAGCAGTCAGGCAAGAAGTAAGGGCTTGCTGCGCTGTGCCCCTACCTGTGCATTTGCCAAGACATCCGCGAAGCATTGTTCTTTCTACATCCTACACAGCTGTTGGGCTACCATCGGCGCCTCTTTCATGGCCCGACTGTCTAGCTACACACGCTCGCAGATTGCAGTGACGCAAGCACAGACACACGGGCTCGCCCCCGAGGCCCTGAGAAAGAAAGTCCGACAGACAGACGGAGAGACGAAAAAAAAAGAGGTGGAGACACACTGACTCACTCGCTCTTTCGCTCGCACTCTTTCACACTCACCCTCACTCTCAAAAACAAGCGGCTATCAGCAGCAGAAAAACAAACCCACCGACAACGACAAGCTCAAACATAAAGCAGCACACAAACAAACACATGCACACACACACACATATATATATATATAATAAACATACATATGTATACACACATACACACACACACATAGGCACAACAACGCTCAATGACTAACGACAACCAACAAGCACTCACCCCCACAGACACACACACACACACGCACACACACACACACATATATATATATATGCATATACACACATACACACAACCAAGCAAACATACAAGCAAGCATGCAAACATACAAGCACAAGCAAACAAGGAAGCAAAACACAACCCAAACAACCACGCAACAACACACACACACATACATACATACATACATACATACATACATACATACATGCATACATACATGCATATACACATGCAGACACACGCACGCACACAGTGAAACACCAAAGCATGGTCAAATGAACAACCAAACAGGTCCGGTGTCACGAATGCTGGTTGAGCCAGTTCGTCCTCAGCATTTTCTCGCTGTAAACAGGAAATGCACAATCAAGCACACAAACCTTCACACAAGCGAAAGACCAAGCAAGCAAGCACACAAACAAACAATCAGGCACACAAGCAAACTACAAAAGCTAACTAGCAAAAACACGATAGAGCAAACAAACAGACAGACCGGCAAACAAGCATACAAACGAATGAACGTACTCGCAAGCAAGAGTGTAAAAATCAAAGGAACAATCTAGACAATCCCGAGCAACCAAGATCAGTCACGTTCCCGAGACACACACAGCCAAGCAAGCATTCCTTTATGCGACCAAGCCAGTCCTCAGTGATCTTGGGCAAACGTCATTCGGCATCGTAGCATTCATAAATGCATCGTGAACATTCAGGGGTACATAAGGCTCGCGTCGTTTAACAAAGCGATCGAGCGAGCAACCCGCCAACCAACTAACCAGCCAACCATCCATCCACCCATCCATCGATCCAACCATCCATCCAACCATCCAGCCATCCAGCCATCCAGCCTTGCAACCATCCAACCGTCCAACCGTCCAACCCTCCAACCCTCCAGCCCTCCAGCCATCCAACCGTCCAACCAACCAACCAACCAACCAACCAACCAACCAACCAACCAAGCAAGCAAGCAAGCAAGCAAGCAAGCAAGCACCAACCAACGAACCAACCAACCAAGACAACACCAATACTCCAAAATGCGCTCGGGCACAGAAATTACAATTGCACAAATGCAGCGAAGGAAGAGCTCTTCGAAGCTTTGGCCGTGGAGGCCTTGAAGAAGTCTCGGTCTCGGGGCGTTACGATTCTATGATGCAGTGTGTTCGAGGCTGCAACTGTTGGACAAAACGGCTCACAGCAGCTGCAGCTGTTTGGGCTTGCAGCTTGTGCTTCACTCTGTCAACGTGAGGTCCTGCGACTATAGTTGCTCGGTTTCGTTTTTCGTTTCAGGCGATGCAACAACCGGAGCCGTGAAACACCAGTCCTTCCGATAGACCGACCTTTTCGTAAGCAAAGATGAGTGCCGTTGCCGCCTCTGCTTGGATTGGGCGCTCGCATTGCCGACTCCAGGTTGAAGTCGTGTCATGTTGCGAGATATGCGGCTTTGTTGCGGCCGTAAAACCCGAGGACAGGTCAATGATGTGACCCAGGTGAGCTTGCTCTTGGCTGCCTCTGCTTCCCAGCTGTGAACTCTGAGAAGCTGTAATTGGGATTGGTTGGGCCTTATGTCAGCGCAATCACTCGGGCATTAAGTCCTTTCGGTCCGCCTGTTGCCGTTCTCTCAAACCAGTCGTGTCACTCTTTCCCATCTCTACCAACCACCATTCGGCCTCTCCCGTGCTGCCCGACCTCAAACCTCGTTCCTCCTGCTGCCGCCTTCACTGCAAGGCGCGAAATCCACGATCGCTCCGACCATAGCCACGTCAGCTTTTCCTTGGTTATGATAATTATGCAGATGTGGCAGTGTCAGTACTACCTTTAACTTCTCCATCTCGTCACCATGCCCTGGCTCCCCCTCCTGCGCGCCAAACAGATGCATGTGGAGATGAGTAACATGCATAATGCCCGAATTACGCCAATCCGCTCCGTCCAGTTGAACGTGCTTCGGCGCGCAACCGCTTGCATGTTCCCAGTGACCAGTGCAATGCTTCTCGGATCTAGAACTATAAGTGCAGAGACAACAATCATTTGCAGTATTCTTCGCTCACCCAGCTCAGGTTGGAATCATATTGGCGATGCTTGGAGGGAGTCTAATTTTCTTTCAGTTATGTCGTGACGAACCCATCGGCCTTCCAGACCGTCTGGAAGTCTAGCGTGCCGATGGGGGCATCCCAATTTCGCAGTAAGGATCCGTGATGCCGTTGGCACATACCAGCACGGCTGCATCGTGCATCAACGGTACGGCTTCCGGACGTTGCTTGGCACACTGGGCGGCCCACACGCATGAGAAGGTCGAGGTCATGCTAAATGGAATTCAGAAAGAGTGATTTCTTGCTGGACAGCACGGGGCCTGCAGGTTCTGCGTCGTGGAGCTTCTTGACTCGCTGTTCCTGCTTCCATGTACCTTTCAACTGTCCCGGGGCTGCAGTGTGGTCCAAAGCCTCAGATGTCGATGTTGAAGCATACCCACTGCATGATTAGTGTCACTTGTTTCGAGCTGAGATTAGTTACGTTCGACCTCGCAAGGTTTGGGGTTTTTGTATGATGGCCAAGACATTTTCCTGACGCGTGTGGCAACCCCTTAGGATCTGCCTCACGGTCAACTATGATGATCGAGTTCAGTCACGGTTGCAGGAGGCAGGCGCCATGTGCTGAGGTTGAGTTCGCATTTTGGGCTTGACATTCAAGCTCGCACTACAGCTTGGGGACGGGGTGATCGACAATCTACACGGTTCGCCACGTGTATTCAGGCGAAGCAGGAGAAGGAACAGTTGTCGGCTGCGTATCATCGCTGCATCCAGGAGATGGAAGCTGGGCTGAAATTGAAGCGCCCTGCGTCCTGTTCCACTGGTTGTCTCTCTGGCAGCGTGTCGTGCCTCGCCTGAGGATGAGAAGCTGCGGGCGGTTTCCGAGTCCAACATCCTTCTGGCGGAACGATCGTTTGCGGACAGGTGGGGCGCGGTAAATCTGAGCTGTAGCCAGGCAACTTAGTGCTTGTTTCCAGTGTTGTTGTAGCAGAGGTGGCTATGTGATTATGTGATGTTACGCATGCGAGGGCTTGCGTGGACTCCTGAACATTGCAACCAGCCTGCAGAGGAAGAGGGATTTTGCGGCCTTCTTGGGGCAGTTGATCGTTTGGTGCCCTCGTGTGCCGGCACACCAGCAGGAGCCAGTTAACGGATGTGGGAAGATGTCGGCGTCCCACATTTGTGAGATTTCGAAGGAGCTGTTGCGGCACGAACTGTGCAGCTTCGTTGATCTCTGGCTGCGGGTCTATGGCGAAGCATCAATTGACCCTGCCAAGAGGCCGGCGATTTACAACACCACTCGTTGGACTTGCACAGAGGGCATTTGTTGTTCGGCCCTCTTGGTGTTCCACAGCGAACGGCATGCCCAAGCTTCCTGAATTCTGTTCCATCTGTTCTGCTTTACAGAATTAATCAATTAATTACTGAACTGTACTATGACATCACAGGCTGCAGTTCGACTGCTCGGTGTTGGGCAAGTGCAAGACGGCAGAGGAACCGGAGATGCCGAAGCGGCCGGCAAGCTGCGCAGCGTTGTTCATGTTGGGGGTCAGGTGCTGTACTACTACACGTAGTCGGGAGTAGTCACATGTAGTCACGCTGGACTTGCACGCAGTCGCTGGACCAAGCGATTCGATGCCACTGTGCGTGGTCCGCGGCCGTCACATCTCCCAGCATTCTCTTAAGGAGACTGCAGTGCTAGGCGTTGCACGCCATGGGTGACCCATGGCGCAAGATCTTGCACCAGCTGACCGCGGAGCTGGTGGCTGGGCGATTGATTTAGACAAAGCGGGCATTTGCGGGCACTGTGCCTGTGCAAATGTTTGTCAATTGTGCTCGCTCCCTGGCTTAGGAACGCCAGTCCTCCCGCCTACGTGAGCTGGAGTTGGAGAATCAGGTGCAGAGCTGAGCTTCTGTTGCTGGGCTCGTAAGGCCAGGCGAGGATATCTCAGCCGTGCATGGCGTTTGAATTGTTCAGACATTCTGAGCATTTACTCGGATCTACTCCACACCTGTGACGTGTAGTCTAGTCTGCTCAGTGAAAGGCAGGCGGGGCAACGAAACCTGTCGTATGCTAGTTGCTTCCAGGGCTTGAAGATCGCCCAGTCGACGATTGAACGACCACTACCTCCCAGCAGTCCTGTCAGTCCAGCACTCCGAGGCATGTTCGGCTTTGGGGGGAGAACTCCTAGCATCAAGCCACGAGTGAACACGGACCATGTGTGGTGGCAGCCTGCCTGACAGATGCGGCAAAAGCAGAAAGTGAAGGTGTCAGCTCCAAGTCAGAGCCGTTGAGGCACGCCTGTGAATCTCGACATGTGCGATTTGCATGCAGTCCAGGAGACATTGACGGAAGGGGGGGGGCTGGCGTAGTCAACCCACGCTCCCAGGCGAGAGCAGCCTGAAACTCCAGGAAAGCCTGCCCAAGTATGGCAAGCGTTCTTGGGCAGAAAAGTCAGTGTTGCCATGCCTGGCACAGTGCCTGGTGCATCCTTTGGAGAATGTTTCGCTTGAAAGCATAAAGCTGAAGTTTCGAGAATTCAAGGTCAGCGCCTGCAAAAAGTGATGCAGAAGATGAAGCAGCGGATGATAAGGTGGGCATAAACCGCCGCAGTGCTGAGAAGTTTACATTCGTTGCCGGGCATCATGCAAAATCGTGGTCCACGGTGCAGGGCTAAATAAAGCGCCGGAAGCCCGCAGAGTAAAAATTGTCACCGGCCGGCTGCACATGCAGCCTGTCGTGCTCCCTCCTGTGAAGGCCAGCTTCTCGGTCATTCGAGGAACCCGTTCCACGAGGACGACGACGACGACAGGCGAGCCAACCAGCAACTTGGCCACTGAAGTCGCCAGGGGGCATGCCAGTGTTCACGGGACACGTGGCAGATGGGCAGGGCACAGGCACTATGCAAGGGGTGGTGCCCGGTCATGACCGAAGCGAACAAGGCACACAAGGCCAGATGCGTCACAACCTCCGGAAGACTTTCTCGGCGTTGAGGTAATTTAGGTACATGAAAAATGCTTAAAACTGAGGAAAGCCTTGGTACATTATCAATCCGCAGAGCAACGCGTTTGCTACGTGGCAGCTGATCACCACCATAGCTCTGGGCTTTGTCGTGACGGTTGTACCTTACCAAGTGGGACTGCTGGAGCTTGCCTGGGACTTTCTGCTTATTGCGAGTTGCTTGGTGGATCTGGTCTTTCTTGTCGACATGGCCCTGAACTTCTTTACTATGCCTCCTGCCATCAAATTTACTACAAAGTTAAAAGATGTGTTCTGCGGTGATTGTGAAATAGGATTTATGCGGTTACCTCTGCTTTCGTGCTTTGTTTGGTCCGGAGCTGGGAGCCATCAGTCGTGCTCGACCCTGGCGCTGAAACTGGCGCATGGAAGGGGCAAGAACTAAAACGTCTACGCCGGGTTATCAGTTCAAGTGTGGGGACGGGTTGATCATGCCAAGCAAACCGTCGCAGAAAGCAATTCGGTGCTTTGTGTTTCTGTTTGCTTGGACAGGTATCCCCGGACGACGGCGCGTGGCATAAAGTGGGAAGACAGCCTGGAGAAAATTGCGAGGTACTACATATCTGGCTGGTTCTTAATCGACATATTGACCCTGATTCCCTTCGACATCATTGCATCTTGGCTCTAGGTCAGTTCTCGAAGCCTCACGGACCTCGGCCTCGGGAACTTTGCATAAAGCGATACGGAAATAACATGATAACTGTAACAGTAACAAGAATAGCAATAACACTAAAACTCGTAGAAACAGTAAGAATAACAATAATAGTCATATTGCTGCTGTAATGTTGGTAACTGTTATTATTGTAATTGTCCTTATAGTCAGACCCATAGTAATTGTGACGAGAATAGCATCATTATTGGTCTGGTAACTAGTATTGATATGAAAAAAAGTAGTGAAAAAAAGTAGTAGCATGACCACCATCATTATCATCACCAGCATCATCACCATTATGATTGTTGTTAATGTCATTTTTTCCAACAGCGAATAATGAGAGCAAGATTGACAACCATCGCAGGTCTTAGCATTTTCTATCAAGAACAAGCACATTTCCTCGTCCCAGGAGCTTACATCAGGAGCAGCAGGTATGGGAGTGGGCAAGGCAACCAAAGCCGTCCGGGCATTGCGTTTGCTAAAGTGCCCCGGCACATTTTGGGTTTAGGGTTGAACGGTTCGGCTGACTTGTATTTCGTCAGTATACAATAGCCGGAGATCCTTTATTTCATCTTCTTGCGCATACACTTACGAGATGTGTAGTTGCGCAGACTGGATGTGCACAACACTCACTTATTTTTCAATTGGCCCCTTTTGTCTTCATGAGTTTCATTGTGTTTCTCAGTCGTTTCAGTTGCCCTGCTTTCTGTCATGCAACACAGGTTGTGAAACGGGGCCAAACCAAGACCCAATCTAACCCAATCTAAACTCGGGCGAGTGGAAATATGGAGACAATCTACATGAAGACTGACGTTCGTGAGCAGCCTGAAGATGAATTCCCAAACCAGGCTGAACATGAAAGCATCAATTAACAACTTGAGAGGAACCACGAGCCTGAATGCGCACCCCTAGCTTGACGCATTCCAGGAGGCTGTCACGACACATCGCTCGTAGCTTGTGTGCAACAGCTTTGTGCTGAGCTGACGGATAATGGCTAGCATGGGTACAGAAGGTCACAACCAGACAATGTCCTCCGTTCACTGGAAAACTTGAAAACTATAGATACTAGGCCTTGCAGTTGCACATGCTACGTGGTGCTACTTGAGTTGAACGCTCAGCCCGAACAGCGTATTCTGGTAAAACTCAACAGAGCAACTGGTTCTCAGTGTCACGAGTCTTGCGAACCCGAGGCTCATGCGCATTTTGAAAACATCAAGGCCTGGTCATGAGTTGTTTGGTACTCGAGTTTTTCCGGTTGTTCAGCAATCGGATGCGGAGATCCGCTTGGGGCATGTTGGAGGGCAAATCCGGTGCTAAGGGCATCTGAAGGCCAGAACCGCTCAGTTTTTGGACCTTTTGCAAGCGTGGCTATGGCAGGTGGCTGCACAAGCTTGAGATTGCCATCTCCATTCCATACCAGCAGTTTGCTCTAGCTCGGTTTTTGCTGATCTTATTACTGGTGGCTTGGCTTGGCAGTGAGTGTCCCGTAGTCGTTGCTGCACAAATCCCCTGATCTTCGAAGGTTTGCCATTGGCTGGCCTGCATTTGGGCTATGACTCTTCAACTGGCAAGCGATGACTTCCCGCAATGGATAAATGATATCGAAGTCGTTGATATCCAATTCGGCATCTTGGCAATGCCAGCCGTGTTTTTCATGTCTCATGACTCCAGCAGGTATTGCGTCGGATGTCTGCTTGACTCTTCACGCTTTAAGCTGAACTCCCACTTAGTAGACATCCCTGACCGAGCGTCAGTCCAAGTCTAAGCCCCAGGCAGCATATCAAAAAGTCATGTAAACGGATATAGAGAATCCACCCTATCGCCTTTTTCAACCATGCTGGGGCGCCGAGCCTGGCGAGTTCGGATTTTGCAGACAATATTGTGTAGGGCTTGATTTGGGATTTCTGATGGCTGTGTACGTCTGCATATGGTTTGAGGATGGACTCCAGTTTCGAGTTGAAAGGGAACGGTTTGACTTGGGCGAACTCAAGCCCCCCTGGCTACACAGGTATCTACACCAGAAACGAGCCCCATCGCGTGTATTTGAGTGCTTTCTATTTTTGCAGCTATACGATGACATCTGTTGGCTACGGCGACATCGGTCCGAAGATTCCGGGCTTCATTGGAGAATTCGACTGTCCCGTCAAGTCTCGCCGGCATCTGCGAAAGAATGACATGTGGCTCAGGAACCTTTTCGAACGATCTGTTTGCACGGTGATTATTTTGGCCGTGCCCTGTCCGCTTCAGCCACCAACTCATTCCTAGCCGTTGCGTTGCGGCATGTGACGGCGGAAAGCTCTAAAGATTTCAGGGAGCTGCATGGCGTTCTTTGCGCCGTTTTCGGTCGCTTTCGTTGCTGCCCGGGTTGCATTAGGAGTTGCCTCACAGGCTGGCCTTTGCTGGGCCTATGTGCTGGGCGAAGTTTGCGCCATTGTAAGCGACATGAACTCCGAAAGTCAGGCCAGGCGGGTGTAATAATTACCTGATACAGCCTACTAAGGCTTGACCACGGGATAAAGTTGCTGGAGCACACAGCGGATTAATGCAGCGCTGCCAAGACTCTCTCACCACATGCTCTGGACCCAATATATAATGGTGCGAAACCGGGTCGGATCGGAAACTATTGGCAGACCGCGCTAGCTAAAACACAGCGAACGAGTCGAACGAGTGATATTTTTGCGAGGCCTTCCGGAAAAAGATGACGGACCTGAACACCATGATGTGGGAGCAAGGGCTCCCCTACGAGCTAAGATGCCGGCTACGAAGTTTCTTTCTCCAGAACCGACACCAGGCGTTGTGTTGGGACTGCACATGTCGCAGTTCCACCATAGACGGCAGACTCGAAGCTGTACCATGACTGGCAGGCGCTCTACGTGACCAGGCAGAAGCTCCGCGATAGCATGAGCCCACAGCTCCAGTCCGAAGTATGCATTGCGCTCAACTTGGCTTGGATTACGACTCAAGTCTCAATCAATACTTTACAGTATTTTACCGTCTGTGCATTCGGTAAGACTTTGGAGCATGGTAGTGAATTTAGTAGGGCTGGTTCGCCCACCAAGGAAGGTGACGTTCTTCAGCCAGTTTATGACACTCATGGAGGAGAATCAGGCAAAGGGAATGGACGTGGATTCATACCGAATTGTCATCTCAGACATATCTCGTGAACTGGAGTGCGGCGCTTTCGCTCAAGGCGAGCGCTTTGACAACGTACAGGTGCTATACATCCTATCGAAAGGACTGGTCGCATTGAACAGCCGCGTCGGTAGCAACGGTGCAGTCTGGGGCGAAGACTTCGTGCTCTCCGACCCATCGCTCATCCGACCCGTGCGAGGTTTCGCATTGACCTACCTGGAAGTCTTGAACTTGACACGTTGGAAGTTCATGAGAGTTATCGAACGGCGTAAGCTCACATGTCCACAGCTTGGGCAAATCGTGCGACGCTTTTGTGTGCGGCTTGCGGTACGCAGAGGTGTTGTTGCCCACACCCGACGCATCCAGAGACTGGGGCTGTCAAGCAAAGAGGGTGCAGACCCCACAGCCAGCACTAACACGGAGTCTTCGCAGGCCGGCCAGCTGTCTGCGAGAGAGGGCCTTCGGACAATGAGTGTGTGCTTCGGTTTGATCGTAATGAGAGTTTGAGAATGTTTGAGAGTGGACAGAGTCTTTAGTCATTGATAGGCCCTGCCCTTGCCTCCAGCATACTTTCCAGTTGCTGCACGATGTCCAGCATGCCTGGCCAGGCAGCGGAGCGCAGACCCAAACAGTTGCCACCACCGCCTCAAGCTCCACAGGGAATTTACCAACCATTTGGAAGTCTCCCGGGAGTGCTTGATGACGTGGAGCGTCACGATGTTGACCCGAGGGACCAGGACCCACGAACGCGACGCATGTCACAAGGGCAGCTGGAGGACATGTGATTGTCAGGCAGGCTGTGTTTCACAAACACGGTTGCTCCCCATGAAAGAAGGGCGGCAACAGATACTTCGATCACGAAGTTGAATACGTATGTAATTACAGATTTTTCTTGCACGAGTTGCCAGCTCATCGTAGCTGCAACGACCGTCGCCTCTTTGGCACATAGTTTTGCTCCTCGCTTGCTGGGCACTGCCCGAATGCTGTCCCTGCAATCTGCTAAGCAGAAATTGCTCGCTCAAGTATTGCCTATGACCACCGAAAACTATGCCATTAGCATGCAGCCGTAAACATTGCATCCTGATGCTATGTGGCAGCAGCGTGCAATGCCAGGTCTGAGATGCTGGCACAGAGTTTGAGTCATCATTGCTCTTAGTGTTGCTCAGTTGACATTGGACTTGCAGGAGCTGTTGCGAGCAGCACAAAACATCACGCAATCGGCGGGTACAATGGTGGGTGATTCCTACGAGCAGCTCAGCACGGTCAAGCAGAAACTGAGCTTCAACTCGAGAGAGAGAGAGAGAGAGAGAGAGAGAGAGAGAGAGCGAGCGATTCCTCAAACGGGAAAGGGCCGCAAACCACCCGGCAATGCCCGGGGGCCACGGAAACCAGTACAGACAAAGGTTCAGCACACGCGAGTTGGCCCAGGCTGGTAGGGTCGAGCAATGACGGGGAGTAGCGGGGACAGGGCATGGGGCCAATTCGCAGGAACAGGGCTGAACCTTGTCGGTGTCACACAGACCCAAACTTGGACACTGGCGTAGCGCGAGAGCGCAGGGTATGGGGGACTCGTCCCCTGTGCCCAAACGCTGTGCAAGCAAGCAAGCAAGCAAGCAAGCAAGCAAGAGAGCGAGAGAGAGTCATAGGGGACCCCAGCGCCGGCCACTCAATAATATCTTGTGTGGTTGGGCGGGCCAATGGCCTGAGGGTCGAATAGTCGACCTCTGCGCCCTGCAGAAAGAGAAAGAGAGTCTATGGCTGTGGAATCGTCGAGTCGACGTTACGCTGCTTCCCGGGGCGAACCTCGGTGACGACTTCCCCGACAGAAGACGGCGGTAGTCAGCCAGGTGGCCCGTCGGGGCCATGACGAGCCGCTTCCAAAGCCAAGCGTCCCTTCAACAGACGGGCGTGCCCTAACGCACGGCCGCTTGAGCTTGGTGAAAGAGCACTCGACCCCTACGGCCGCAGAAAGAAAGGGGAGTGTTGCGCCAGCTGGACCTGCTAGTAGAGTGAGTGCTGCCTGCTTGGAGGGAGGCGACGGGGGTGTGCCGGCGAGGGTGTGCAGGTTCAGGAGTACATGTGACGCTTCAGTTCATGCCAGATCGAGGCAGGATTGGACCTTAGGTTGAGCGCAAGTTTACGTGAGGGTGTTAGGTTGACTCTGACATACTCTGACCCCTGCAAGCTTGGTTGTTGATTCTGAAGGGTGGCTGTCTGTCTCGCTGCGACCGAGAGTAGCAGGAACACACAGCCTAGGAAGGTGGTTTGAGAGGACGTTGTTTTTGCAAGGTGTTTCATGCTTGACATCTGTATCATCTTCTCCTACAGACATCCATATTCGATGGCTCCAAGATGCTACTGAAAGAGAGAGCTTCAGGCTTCAGCCTTTTGACCTATGAGGGATGGAGAGAGTTGGGTGGATGGTGCCGCCTCTCCTGGCTTTATGACATGTGAGTCAGCTCCGTGACAGTCGTTGTGCACAGGCGCCAGTCCCTGGAGCTTGGAGCGAAGAGCGGAGAGAAGTGAGTAAACCCCGAGGTAGCGTGACTCAAGAACAGCTGCAGTGGGCAAGAGTCCTAGGTCGCACATGCGCACGTTGAATGCGCTGAAAGACTCAGAGCCGCCCGCCGCGCATGGACGGCGAGAGCAAATAAGGCGCGGACGCAGAATTCACAAGACTGTTTGCTGGCCTTCTTTCACTCCGAAAGCATGCGCCCGACAAGCTACGTGCTACTCGTTGCTTAAAGCCAGGCGAAGCTTACGGGAGCCCACGTACGTCACCCGACGATCGTCGTGGTGGCACTGCCTTCCAGGGCGTTGCTACTTCGACTGTGCAGCTTCCGAGGACGCCTGGCAATGGTTTTTGCCCACGGAGCCGCAGTACTGCTGATGATATACATCCTGCATTACCCATATTAAGGAAGATGCCATAATTGCCATAATTCCCATAGTTTAGGGTCCTTAAGGTAGTGCAGGACTTATATCATCAGCCGTAATTATCTGCTGCACCGAAATGACTGAGTGATTGTATGCCTTGCATGCGCAGCCCCCATGTGTTTTCTAAAGATGCAAGCTTGAACCATCCTTGCCAAGTGGAAACAGTTCAAGAACGTCGAAGGAACTGCTGCAGTACCTGATGCGATACTGTAGTTGTTTGGGGAGTGTCGGGCTTGAAGCCACTGCTGCCGAGAAGGCTGGTCCTGACCCCAATCCCGCCTCTACACACTGCAGTGAAATGGTCGACTCGTAAAGGATTGCTGGCTCTGAGTTCTTTTGTGCAGGATCGCACCTCCAGAATCGTTCTCAATGTCGCGAGCGAGAGCATGGAACGTTAAAGAGCTTCCGCACAAAGTGTTGATGCCCCAAAAGTGCAGGACCGTTTGGTCGACCTTTCATGCTGCATTTGCAGATTACAGCTGTTGAGCAGCTTGTTTGCACTGTCGGACGGCTCCCGTGTGTCCTGTGCATTTTTGTGGGCCGTGTGACCAGTTATGAGGGGCTGAGGTGTGACAGGATTGCTACGACTGCTAGGATACGACCAGCCAAAATGGTGGCTGCTCCAACAGGTGTTGAATGGTTTCTGGGCGGAATCACCAACCTCCTGTTTCGGATTTCAACCTGCTGTCTTCCTGGGTCGTCGCGCTTAGGGCGAAAAACATCGTAGATGTATGAGCCCGTGGGAGCCCTGAGGTGCAGACCATGCTTTGCTCTTGCTGGCTCTGCTTGTCGGCATTGTGCTGACGCTTTGCAGCGCAAGACTTGTCGCACATGCTTTTGACATGGTGGTCCTAACATCATGCCCCGGAGCTTTTCTCACAGGAGTAAACCAAGCGAAAATCCGTTACAAGCCGCCAAGGATAGCAGTCACGGCGCTCTTCCCATTGCTGAGCACTGATAGGACCTGCAACGCATGATGTGCAGAATGCTTTGATGCTGCGACATTTGGAATGTCAAGTTTGTTTGGAGGACCTGGCGGAAAGTTGGGGTTGACTTCCTCTTGGATGCGGCTCCTGTTGCCATCTACGCGGCCTTTTCGCAATTGCAGTCTATGTGGTTCGCGATGGTTCAAGCCGTGTAAAATTACTGAGACCCCTTGCCTCGAACTTGTGCAGAACAGTTCTTGGCGGCTTTGTCCAGGTGGTGTGCTTAGCCATGCTTCTCGCTCGTATCGAAAGGATCAGCGGCTTGCCAGCAAGCCGGGCATGGGTCGTGGCCAAAACAACTTGTCAGACCTGTCCGCACGTTGTGCGTCTTTGAGAAATGATCTTTGGCGCTTATGGTGAGGTGCCCTAATTGCAATGCGGCGGGAGGTGTATCAGGCACAGGAGATGCAAATCTTCGCCGGGGCTGTCAAGGACGGTTCGTCGCGTAGACACAGGTAGCTTGCCAAGAAGCAGCATACAACAGTTGAAAGGACGACTTGCTCTCACACTGGGCTGCCGTGAGTGACATAACTGAGTCTTGGATCAAAAAAAAGATGGGCAGGTGGGGTGGCTTCGTTAAGGAGAGTGGGTCGCTAGCAGCTAGCACTCAGGATCTATGGTGCAACCGTACATTGCCGCGCTTGGAGCTTCTGAAGGACTGACGCTGAAGAAGACCTCTCCAGTGGCATTTCATCCAAGCAGTGCAAAGCAGTGTTTGATCGAGCGGGTGGGCAGCCCCAAAGCAAAGTGTCGATGTATGGTGTTTTCATCTTTAGTGTCGGTGGTTTTTTATTGCGGAAGCTGTCACTGCACCGGCGGGGGCCTCAGAGTGACCCTGCGAGGAAGCTGCTGTTGTCGGGGTAGTCGCAACGTCATCGGGGTTCCGGGGGCGTGACCCCAAGCAGCAGGTTCAGCCTAGCAGGAGGCAGACCCAAAAAAGGTTCTCGCAAACGGGGCGGGGGGTGGGACCTAAATGCGCAAAGGCAGCAAAGGAATGTGCTGTGAGAGTAGAGGTGGTGACGGTGGTGACATCAGCTGCAGTCGAGGCAAAGTTGGTGTTGATGATCAGGTTAGATTTCCAGTGATATGCCAGTGCCAGCAACAAAAAGTCGATACAGCGCCAACTTAACTATGGGCGAGTGCGCAGTAACCACAGGGTCTTCATATCCGGAAGGAGCTGCACTGCCAGCTAAGCTCCTCTTCTCCGGAGCAGCTAGCAACGAGCCTGCGTGACCTCAATGGAATCTGCTGCATGTTTGAGGGTTCTTTGAGAGCTTCAGGCTGAAGAGCCCGGTCCGGTGCATTGCAACGAGCTGCTTTGCTGCGACACCACAGTTGCACGTTCCGCTCAGTGCCAGGCCGTCTATGCAAGCTGGAAGATGCAGTCGGCGATGTCAAGGTGTCGGCTTTGCTTAGAATATTGAGTGGTTTGTGGAATGAGCTTGCCCTGCCCGACGCAATCATGGGTGGGGCGAGGTGTCAGCTAGAAATCCCCACCTCTCTCATGCACTGCTGGGTCAGCAGAGGACTGGTGGACAGCGCAACATGAAGGGAGCTTTGGTTGCAATGCCACAATGCAATCAGAGACTGACACGAAGAGGGAGAGAAGTCATGGTCGACAATCGCGGTTTGCAGTGCCGAGCCACGGGCTTGTCAGAGAAGCCTGCAGGGTTGCACCTTACCTTAAAAGCTCGTTGAGGAAGGAAGACACCCCTGTCAGGGTGATGGAGTTTGCACAGGAGCGCGAGGAGGAGTTAAGTTGTTTCAGTGCTCCTCCCATGTCGAAGCCTTATCCACCATCCTACTCAGAGCGTCTGCTGTGTTTGTTTGGTCTGGGTTGTCATTATGCACCACTGTAAGCCGGAAGGAGGCACTGCAACGTAACTTCGGTACAAACACGACTCCACCAACCAGTCGACGAGAGCATGGAGGCAACGAGACGATGGTCGGAGAAGAGCAAACACAAGTCTGCAATGCGCTTAGGAAGAAGGCCCCCAGAGCGGAATAGTGAGAATTGGGCAACTTAGGCGAGCTCCGCAACTGCAGCCACGCGTGCCTTGCCTGAAACTTCTGCTTGCTGGACTCGAGCGAACTTCTCATTTGGCTTCGTGTCCAGGTTAGCATGCTGCTCCGGTCTCGGACTTTGGACGGATTGGAGGCCCAGCTGCTGCGGAAGAGGGTTTGGATCCTTTGGCCTGCGGGTTTTCGGTTTAAGAACGGGCGGGGCCTGCTCCAGGGAGCAAGGCCAGAAAAGGCACGTGTACCGAATTCCGTCTGAGCTTGAAGGCTGCTTGCTGTGACTCGGCTGTGAAGTTTGATGTCGAATGTTGCCCTTGAGAAGAAGTAGTTGCGGCGGGAGGTCATTTCCAGAACCAGCATGTACCAGCCATGCAACGTATGGGGTGCTTTCAACAGTACAGGTCTCAGAATCTGCTAATGGTCAACCTCACGGCACCCACAATTTTCTTCCCTGAAGCCTGAAGCTCTCCCTAAACCCTTAACCCCCGCCCCCCCCGTATTGCTGTGTTTGCGGCTTCTCTGGTCTCTTTGCAGACGTCGTGTGCAAGTAGCAAGCTCAGAACGAACCTGCCATGCCTGTTTTGAGCGAGTGTGTGAGTCGACCCGCCCCCCCCCGAAACTCTGTGAAGATTTGTGACTCGCTGAATGCATTGAAGAGGGCTGCAGGCTGCAAACATGCGAATTTGCTGAATGCGTTAATTTACTGCATGCCGGCATGGAACATTCACGCAATCTTGGACGCGGACAGTGACAAAACGACAAGCAGGTAGGTTGATTCACGGTCGGTGCAAACACTTCACCAGTGAACTGTTTGCGGCGACTGTTCGAGGCAGATGTTGGCGAGATGAGCATGTGCATGAAAATTGTAGCCACTACTCAGGCGTGCTTTGCAAAGGAGGAGAGTGTTTTTGTGACCAAATCTGGATCGGTGTCCTGGAAAGCATCTGGAACGAACAATGTCTCCAGCCTGGTGCACCCTTTAAGGGAGGGCATAGGCTGGGTGATTGTGTTAATGTTTTGCAAGAGCTATATGTGCTGTTGCTCCGCCAAAGCGCGTTCGCCGTACCAGGAACCTCGCCAAGGTACGTCCGAGAGTGAGTGCTGAAACGCCAAAACCTCGCATAGCGGCTTAGCTTCGCCGGTGTGAGTGCTGGATGGTCTTGAAGCCCTGCCTGCTTGTGCGAGCGTGCGAGTCGAAAACCTCAACCCTATAAAAAATCCTTAACCCTAAACCGTATGTACGATTGCTGTACTACTACTGTACTACCACTGTATTGCTGTGCCACTGTGCTACTACTGCACTGCTACTGTACGATGAGTGTACTATTACTGTACTATTACCGTAGTACTACTGTACTACTACAGTACAGTACCAGCCCTCAAACTACCCTCCACCCAAGCCCTCCAAAGCCCCCAGAACCCCCCAAAACATTCTAAGGTAATCAAAGCCACCCAGACACCAAATTAAAGAAGCCGCGTACGAATGGTCGACGTCCCAGCCTGTACCACTGTACAGAGATGTACAGAGGACAACTGAAAGCGCCAGTCTTGACGAACCACAAACTGGATGGAGCTGTCCTTGATTCGGCTTTGTCGTTGCCGGAGGATGGCGCGCCAGGCAGCTTCTCAGACCGGCTGGACTCGATGATCGTTGAGATCAGCAGTCAGGCTGGTGCGGCTCAGTGCTCACTCGACATTAAATGCACCCTACCTCTTTACTTGTCATTGTGCAGGCTACCAGAAGCGACGGGCCGCTGCAGGTGGTGCCCTGCCGTGGAAAGATTTGAAGCCATCGTCCAAAACTTTGTGTGCCTTTGTCACCCCGAGACGTGCCCGAGACTCCAGAGAAACAGCCAGCTCGTGGCAGCTTGTGGCTTAAATCGGTTCCATGTCTGAGAGTGCTTCGCAAGGCAGATTTTCTTCGAGACGCTGGACAAAGTTTCCAGGCAGACTCGCCCACTTTGGATCTGGAACCTCGATGCATAAAGCTTGGAGGGCGGCATTCTTGAGCTTGCAAGCTTCACGGGCTTGTGCGCACGCTTCCTGTGCTAAATCCTGAACATGTCCGTCTACTTCGTGTGACATGTGAAACCACAATTTCTGAGGACGTCGAGACCGGTGCAAGGAGACAGTCGCTGTTGTCCTTCATAGGCACGCGACGGAGCTGACCGAGTGTTCTGACACGGCACGTGCTAGTTTCGTGTATCCCAGGGGAGCAAGGCGCAACGGCACCGGATCCGCAAGGTCGGGCGTGAATCGCTTGCCCTGTCCATTCCAACTAACAGTCCCAAGCATGGGTGACCATGGGTGCGTCTATAGTCTAGCCGGACAGCCTGATAGCAGAATCGTTCTTGATGCGTCTGTGTGGGATATCTTCGAGTTTATGAGCTGTGTGTCATCCCGTGCTCGAGAACTCTGTGAGGGCGCACACACAAACACAAACGCGCACGTCTTGTCTCTCTCACACCGCTGGTCACGAGTGAAGCCGGGGCAGCCGAAACTGTCATCTCAGTTACGTCAATGCCGCCGATCGATCTGCACAAGAGCGAGGAGGTAGTGGATGCGGCAAGTTGCGCGTCACATCATGTACATCACACACACCAGCGGCAAATTTCTGCATTACTTCACAATGTGTTGACAATGAGTTCATGTAAGCAGCCGCACGCGGCAAGCTCACAATCGTTGCCGGCAGACAGTGCGTGCGCTAACTATTCGAAGGTGGTTTGCGGAACCTCGACTCCTTCTGTGTGAGTGCCGGTGACGGGCATCGTGCTAGCACCGGTTGAGCTCAAGAAAAAGCTCGCACCTTCGCACTGTGGGCAGGGCAGAGCCTCATGTAACTGGAGATGAACAGTTCCAGCACGTGCTGGCCGTGGTGCAACATCCCTCGTGCCGAGCTCCAGTTTATTCTCACCGGGTCTGCCCAGGCTTGGACAGCTTATCGCCCAGGAAGTGCAAACCTCGGTGGTCGCGTATGCATAGCTGCACAGACTGTCGTGAATACATTGCCAGCGTCAGGTTGCTGTCAGGGGATCGGCAAATTTGAAGTTCAGGGACGAGGCTTTTCGTCCAGAAGTTGAAGCCAACGAACATGAAAAAGAAACAGCGGAAACCAGAGACGGCGACAGAATATAAGAATATAATTAACCAAAAACGAAGGCAGAGGGCATGCGTGGGCGAAGCAACGCGACCAGCTTCCCACACAGGATAGGTACGAGCTGAAGTTGCCCAGTGCTTGACCAGATATGCAGCATGCGGCATGCATCGCTTCAAAGTGCTGACATGTGCTGACTTCGCATGAAAACATGATGTTACCTGCATGCACGAATTGAAAGCTCGCAGCAGACTCCAAGAACACAGCGAGCAAATTCAAAACATGCAGCCTGATTGGCTGTTTCACACCGTTTAAAAGTGTCATTGTGAACGACTTGTTGCCAGCAGCCATTGCCTTGGAGCCTTCAAACAGCTCAATCTTCGTACATGCCACATACCAGCTCGTATAGACATCATGTTGCATCTTGCTTGAATGTCCGTTCAAGTCTTTCTTAGTTTGCATCCCGCCCCAGGTCTGACAGAAATCGTTTCGTGCCACTTCCAATGCTCTACAACCGTGAGCGTACACCTCATGTTTGCTGCCAAAGCTTGGGCTTAGGCCACCAACACGGCTCGAGAACCTGCAACATCAGGCAGGACAGCTGTTCCTATGGGCAGATGTGAAGTCGGATTTATGCTTCCCGCCTACGTTGAAAGCTTTACTATGTAGATTTCACTCTCGGTCATTTCGGTGTTGCTCTTGGCTGTGGTTTCGACACTGTTTCGACCAGGCACCTGCCGCATGCCATTGATGGATGCCACCACCGCAGAGTCTGCAGTCTCCTGAGTGCTCATTGCCTCGTCCTCGGGCTATGCCATCGCTGGCTGATCTAGTCGCTGAGGTGTCGCGGATGGACCAGTGTGACCCGCAAGGCTTGTCCAACCTGTGCCGAACCTCCGGCCTGCCACCCAGTGTGCATCCGAAGTGCGGCCAAGGTGCGTTCATGCGTTGGAATCACCAGCCATCTGCTGTTTCTGCGGGCGTTGCCATGGTGCTTTATGCTTTTTTGCTACACGTTGTTACCATGTTCTTGACCTTGCTGGGTTGTCATGTGGCGGAGCACACGAGGAACCTCGAGCATCCAGAGCTCCAATCTCATGGCAACAACTTCTTCCCACAGCATCGTGGGAGCCCTGACTGACGCGACGAGTAAGTCACAAGATGTCAGCCCGGCCCGCAGCGAGAGAGCGGCACCTCAATGGTAAGGCCAAGATCCAGAAGTCCAGCCCACAGAATCCTGGCAACGCTGTTCGGGACCTGGCCAAGGCTGCCCGAAGCTCCACGCATAGCCACATAGCCAAGACTCGCATGGAGCGAAACTACTTCGAAAGAAGCCCAACCCTTTCAATTCGACCGAGCCAGAGTAGCCATGACTACGGCGGCTTCTTCGCGCACTGCGATTGCATTACATTACCGTTGTGCTGCAGCCTTCTGTCAGGCGTCGATCCAGGACTTCCAGATGCTGCACGCTACCGCTGCCTGCTCGACTCTGCGGATGGCCGAACTCCGGCCACAGGAGCGTCGCGTGCTGTCCGGGTGCCTCCGAAGCAGCTGCTCACTTTTCGTCCTTCGGAAGGAGATGTCCAACAGCGCACGGAGACCGACCAAGCTTGGCTTCCGCCGCTCGCCGCCGATGGATGCGTTGGCGACGGAAGTGGTCAAGGAAGTCTTCGTCAATTTTTTGGTCGCGGAAACCCAAATGCCAGTTTGACACTTGCAAGAGAATTGATGCCACCATTGGCGGTTGTGGGTGAGGATGATGGCATGGGATCTCTGATTTGAGGCATGCCCTGTTGGGCAGTAGATTCTCAGTAGATGCTTGTCCGTGGAGACAGAGCACTTTCGGCAGGACGTCGAAGAGTCGAATCCGCATGACCTCTCCGGCATCGTCTGATCTTTCGCGACGTTGAGCCACACAGGTCTTGGACAGGGTCAAGAGACTCTGCTGAACTGCCGGGGTCCACAACTCCACAGCTCCTTGCTCGATCTCCAGGACACATACCCTTGCTGCAAGCCACTTCGGGCGCATCACTGCAACTGCTGGGACAGTTCAACTCCCAGGCCTTGTTGCTTGGTTGCTGTACGAGGTGTTGCTCCTTTGGTACACGTCCCCGGATTCCCTGACGACAGGACTTGGCGAACAGCGCGCAGTCGTTCGCAACGTGCCGTTTCATGCACGGCAAGCATGTCTTGCCCAGGAATGCAGCATGACACGTAATGCCGAATCCTTTGGAACTGCCTACAGTAAAAGTCGCTGCGGTGGTGACCCCAGCCATGTAAGACCCTCGGCATCGCAAATATTGTACTCACACGGACAGCAGCTTTTCGCTGCCAGGGGCTCGGGGACCATGGGCTCGCAGTCCTCAGAAGTGCTGGTGTTTGGCTCGGTCTTGGCTGATATTGATGTGCCCTGACGCCACTGCCTGAGGAGAACTCAGGTGGCAAGTTTTAGCAACCAACCCAAGTTCTGCATGACTCAGGTGAAGCTACCAGAGCTTGCGCCTCAAGGTGCCCGTGCAACTACAACCTTGCAAGCATCGCAGTTTTTAGTCTCGTAACAAGGCGGGAGGCAACAATTGCAGTTGATAATTTCCAGCGCGCGCAGATAACAAGCTGAAACTTGAGCTTCTCGGGCTCAGAGTAGACCTCAGAGCAGCCTCTGAGCCCATCTTGGGACTCTGCGTGGCACCCTGGCTGGCATCTAGGCCCAATCTAGGCTTCAAACGTGTATGAAGGTTTCTGCAATATTTCGGACTAGAGCAACAAATTCCGGAACCGAGTGGCTTGGCCTGGCGGGCAGCAGCATAAAACTTGTGACTTGTTGTTGAGGAGGAGCTAGATCTGCCAAGCGTCCTCGGTTCTGTCGCGCTAGATCGGATGTTCACTCCAATTCTGGTTCCTCTGCGGAGCCTCGCCGCCATAGGCCATGGCCGACCCGGCGGGAGACAGTGATGTACTACCAGCTCAAGACAAGGTCAAGTTTACGGAGGCTGGAGCTCCCCTTCCCAGGGACCCGAAGTACATGGACCGCACAAGCTGGCAGTGCACAACGAAACAGCTTCCTGTCGACTTCGGCTGCTTCGGCTATGTCGAGCACTTTCGAGTTCGCTTCGTGGAATGAAGTTATCTCTCGGGATGGGGGCGGGTAGCTACGTGTAGTTAACAATTGCTGTTCATTGTTTGGCAATGCATTGTTTTGTTTCGCTAAGAAGAGGTTAGCCCAGACAACACAAAAGGCGCCAGCAAGCAACAGCCACAGCGACCAACAAACACCCCCCCCCCCACAACGATCAACAAAGCGATCCGAAAGCTTGCTCCATGCGAACACGTTGCCTTCAGACAGTGTCGAGGGAAGTAATCACCGGTGAATAACAAAGATCAGTAAGCTACCCATGGATTTAGCGGTTGCATAGCTTTAAATGCTGCGTGGAGTCACTAGCAGAGAATCAATTGTCGACCTCTTTCGTCGAATCAAGAGCCACGACCTCCACATGCTCAGCCTTTGTGCCGGAAATCATGGTAAGCTCGTCTGCCCGGATCCTAAACTCAAAACAAAAACGGCGTTCAGAAATCACAGCGTAACACTTACGTCGTGTGGCAGGCATGAAACTTGCAGCAAAGCGTCGCCCAACACAGGGCCTAGCGAACAGTCCAACTCGTCCATCGGCTCACTCGGTTATTCGCGTTGTACCACGTGGTGACACTGTTCTTGTATTGGATACGGTTGAGTGCTTGGTGACTTGGTGTTGAGTAGTAGTCGTCGTCGTCGTAGTAGAATTAGTGGTTCTCAATTCCAACAAAAGCGAACCTCACCTGTTCGTTTCTCTAGAGAACCCAGAACCAGGCATTTCTCATGTTCCCTTAATTTCCACCAAGACTTCATTGTGAATTCGGAGAAAATAGGGGAGCATTGGAGAAACACTAGGAAGCACTCGGTTTTTCAGGAAACCCACGCATTTCGCGGTTGTGTTAATTTCCGGCAGCTTTTTAAATTTTCAAAGGCAAAGTACATGAACAATTAGGCAAGCACAAGCAGTGCATAGAACACACGAATCCGAAGACAGCGAGACATTCCCTTTGTTGTTTGCACGATTTTTCTGCTATGCTCCTCTTTGTAGATCAGAAGCAGGAATCAAGGGGAACCATAGCGGTCGTTCCTTTTCTTTACTATTTTTGTTACTGTTTGTCGTTGTGTCTTTGCTGTTTTGTGTAGTTTCATGCTTAGCTTCCTGTTTGGTACTAGTCTGTCCTGTGTTTGCGTTCGCTGTTCAAATCTGTTTGGCAATATGCTTAGCACCATGGGAGCCGCTGCTTATGATTTGAAAACTTGCTGTGTTCTGGCACTTCGGTAATTCAAGAGTAAACGCCTGTTTTCTGATCTCGGAACATTTCCATGTGCATCGCCCTCTTCTGTAGTAGCAGGGTGATAGCAGCAGTAGCGGCAGCAGTAGTAGTAGCGAAGTAGTAGTAGTAGTAGTAGTAGTAGTAGCAACAGTAGTGGTAGTAGCAGTAGCAGTGGTAGTGGTAGTGGAAGTGGTAGTGGTAGTGGTAGTGGTAACAGCAGCAGCAGCATCACTCAAAGGGGCCCAAAGGGGCCACCGGCTACCGACCTC